ATACGCTGTTGCCCAATTGGATATCGTTCGAGAAGGTGGGACTAATCGATCGCATGTACGATTTCTCAACGGACTTTGAGACGTTCCATACGGGCGTGCCGGATCCGGCCATATCGGGCCTATATGCCACATACCGGGGCGAGACTAAACTGCCCCAATGGGAGGGCGATCACTGCAGCAACATTGAGTACGCCTCCGATGGCACGAAATTCAAAAGTTTCATTCAGCCCAACGAGACGGTTAAGTTCTTCCGCAAGAGCATGTGCAGGCCCATCAATTTGGTAAGTCATCGAGGCATAGTCGCATAGACAGATAGATACTAACAGAATTTATTTCTTTGTCACAGTATCGAGATGGTGAGGAGCGCACTTTTGGCAGCCTAAAGGGCTACAACTACGTCTTCGAGGAGAATGCCTTTGACAACGGTGCCATCAATGAGGCTAACAAATGTTTCTGTCGCCATGGTAAGTCCCGACAAAGTCAAAGTCAATTTTAATTAGCTTGCAATTAGTTCAGCCTTACATCATATTTACAACCGGCCACATTTCTAGTTAAGTGTCGGGGGACAATTAAAATTAAATCTTTCTGGAACTATTACTTCATTGCATTTGAATTTTTAATGCTGTTGTGTAATTCTACACAACCAGTAAAGGCTAAGTCTCATTCTTTACGATCGACGTAGTCGATATGTATTTAATTGCCCAGTACAAAGCGCAAATAATTCTTGTTTTTTTAAACGTACCGCGCTAACTAATTGATATCCCCTACACAGTATGCCGTTTATCAGTTTATATATATACAATTTTTTCAAGTTTACGTCTTATTAGCTCAAGTCTATGCCATTCCAATGGGGCAGACTCCAAAATATTCCATAATATTAAAGCTCTGACGCAAACGAACAATCGAGAACGCGCGAACGCGTTTCGCATGTTTCGAAACATTTATTTCGTATTATTGTCGCTTTGTTTTGTTTTTGTTTTTGTTGTTTTTTGTAGTTTGTAATGAAAGTATCTAGATAAAGTCATGCGTCAGAATTTTGAGACACGCAATTGCTAGCCTTATATGAGAAGGCAGCGTCCAATAACATGTTATTTGCTCTTCCGTTACTATATACTTTAAAAAAAAATTAAAACAGATAATCATTTTGCAATTGCTTCTTCTGCTTCCTTTGTATTGCAGGCGATTGTCAGCCCGTTGGCTTGATTGACGTCACGGATTGTTACTATGGCTTCCCCATCTCTCTCAGCTTCCCACATTTCATGAATGGCGATGTTGGCCTGGTGGAGAACATTACTGGCATGCAACCTGATCCTGAAAAGCATTCAACGGCATTTGTGATACAACCTGTAAGTAACCTTGCCAAAAGCTAAAAAAAAAAATAAATAAATAAATAAATGAAAAAAATAAAAAGTAAACTAAAACATTGCCTTGTTGCTGGAGTGACAACTTTCGATTCGAGCGATTAACAAAATTTATGAGAATCTATAGGCAATACTTAATTAAACATTCACCGCATTAACTGTAACAATTAGCTCGTTTAAAATAATATTCGACTTAATCATGCTAAACTCGTTCTTGTTGTTGTTGTCTTTGTTGTTATTGCCGCCGCCGTCGACAATTGCTGTCAGTAGTAGTTTTTATTATTTTATGCTTAATTTGTTTGCTTACCTTCCGATCGAGTGTAATCGCGTGAAAATTAATTGTTTATTATTGAAATTTATATTAGCTGCCGTTTTCAATATTTACATTTCCGGCTAATTAAGCTAACCGTAAATGCAGCTAGTCACGACTAACTCTTAAAGTTGTATTCAATTTATGTATAACAGGAAAGGAAATACTATTTGAAGTTCGCGCCAGTTAAGCTAACGGCATTTGAGTGACAAGCTATTCATTGTAACCTTCAGTTCCATTGCAAACGCATATTCAATTTACACAATTCACAATAGTTTATGCGATAGATAGAATATCGTTTCGAGTTCGAAAATTCTTAAAGAACGTCTACAGCATATCACGACTTCGCAAATTTAACAACACTGCTGTGATTAGTGGCTTATTGTTTAATTAAAGCGCAGCGTATGGAAATATTAAATATTTAGATGCATAAATAATAATTGTCGAATCAATCACAATGTCAATTGAAGCAATTTAGTCTCAAGCAATATATTTCAAGGAAAGAGCGCAGCAAAAATGCGAATTAAAGCGAGCAGGCCTATATTTAAGTAATTAAATGAAATTAGGCCAAGTGTGGCCAAAATGGGGTCGTACTTGGCACTAAATAACTGAATAAATGGAGAACACTTTACTACCCGGTTAGTTCATACATTAATTGCATATCTCTGTGCACTTTCAGGAATCCGGTCTACCGCTCTCGCTGTCCGTAAAAGTACAAATCAACATGCACTTCAAGGATCTGCAAAACTATCCGCAAGTCTCACAGTTTAGTCATCTGACTGCCCCAATGCTGTGGTTTGAGATCGTAAGTGAACAACACTCATAGCATTGCCATAATGGGATCTAATATAAATTGAGTTCCTCTGCTTATAGATGATGCCTAAGCTGCCGGACGAACTTGATACACGTTTCAATTTCTATTTGAATCTGTTGCCGCTGGTAAATCCGTTGGGCTTCTGGGGTGCCCTTGTGCTGGGCGTAGGCCTGCTGGTCTATGCCATAACACGCGCCACCCTGCACATGTCCAGCTTCACGCGCCAGGCGACAAACATTTCGGATGGCAAATATGCTAGAGCGAATCTGCTGCAGAATCTGACGGGAAGTGGAGGCATCATTGGCAACGGCAATCAGGTGTACAATCCGTGCGAACTGAAGCTATTGGACGATGTGCCCACGGCAAAGAAACATGTCATAATACGTGGCAGCAGCGACGAGGAGGCCTATCAGGAGCGCCGACAGTCTGCATACGCTCTGGAGCTGGAGCCGGCGCTCTCCGATGCGGAGAGCAGCGACGAGGGCAACGAGAGCGACACTGTGACGCTGAGCCGCAACTCAACCACATCCAGTTCGTGCATTGAAGTGGAGCATGATGATGATATTTGCATAGATTGCTTCGACGACAACGGCTTGGAGGTGACTGTGGATGCAGCCAGTACGAGCAGCAGCAGCAGCAGCAAACCAGGCGCGAAGCATCAGGTAAGCAAAGCAACCATAAACAGTTATGTCATCTGCCATATAGAGAGGGGTGAGCTTGATCTAAGTGTAAGGAAATCGCCGCCAAGCTGTCTAACGTGTCTGCCTCAATATTCATTGGATTGCGGCTGTTTCTCTTTTTCTCTCTTTCTTTTTATGGTCAAAATTTATGGGCGCGTTAAATGAAATTGATTAGGTTTAAAATTAGCCATCGGCAGTCGGCAACAGGTGGCAAACTCGTTTTCGGGGCAAATACCACTGTAAAAAGAAAAAGAAGAGAAACAAAAATGGTCACGCGTGTTGATTCTTTCCAGGGGATTTGCATACGCTTGGTATGTTAATTAAATCAATATATGCTTTCTTTTTATTTGCAGTTGGGCGTTAGTTTGGCCAGCAGCGGCTATGCTTCTTCGCCCGCCTCGAGCAGCTCCAGCTCGAATGAGCTGAGCGGGTCCAACAGTAAAACAGGTTGGATGCCCTATGCACATCCCGAGAAGTTTGACGGAACGACAGGAATGACGAAGCATGTATAGAAATAAGCCACCAGTTTAGTATTTAGTTTAGGTTGTCGGTATATCCATATAGATGATGTAGTAGCTAGTTTGCTAGTTTGGTTGGGCATTGGCATCGCCGCTTTTGGTTTTATATAGCATTTTTTTTGTTAGTGTAAATAATATGAAAACCAAATGTTTGGTTTTTCTTTTTTCAATACTGTGATAGCTTTAAACAACAAAAGAACGATGTATGTATATCCAAACACAACAGCACACGAAGTGCTGAATGCGGCTTTTTACAAAAAAAAAAAAAAAAAAAAAACACAAATGGAACAAAAACAAAAACAAACAAAAAATAACTAAAATTTGTATGGAATTATTTATATATCGAGTTTAAGCAGTTTGTAAGTTAACTTACGGTTTAATTTTAGTTAACAAGTCGCCTCCATGAGGTGCCACAAATGATTTGAATTTAAATTTGAATTTAATGCAAATTGTAAATGAAGAAATCTGAATAAGAGAAATTTGCACAATTGTAGTTCAAGTTCATACATTATCTATGCTAAGAATTGCTGTGATTTTTGTATTTGAAGCAGAATTTATGGGCAAACGCATTACAATGCGAGGCGTTCGCACAAGAAATTAATTATCTTAGCCTTAGACCATGTAACTGTATCATTTAAACTGCAATAAATGCAACAATTAAAATATAAATAATGAAATCTTTCAATTAAATGTTAGAAATTACTTTTCAAAAAGTATGCCATTAAAGTATGCTTAACAAATTAAGTTAGAGTTTAAATTCTGATTTAAATTTGATGAACGTTTTTAAGTTTGGCGCGTGCGTACCTAATGTTAACTTTACAGAGTTACTCCACCAGTTAACAGTACTAATTCACGTTAACAGAATGTACTCAAATACTCGTCTCTCATGAGGTGTGGAAAACGTAAGTATCGCTCTCGTCTCTCGCGAGCGGACTTTGAGTCCGCACGATACTATCGGTAGTGTACCCCCACTATTGCGAAAATTTTATCTTATATGGATAAACAGTTTGACTACTTTATAGAGTACATTGTTTCATTTTAGTTTCCAAAAATATGTCACAACATATCTCGGCCTAATAACATCCAAAAAGAATCTAGTCCCTCAAAAAGTTAGCCGCGAAAATCAGAACAGAAGACGCTGGGTAAGAAAAGACGTACAGACTTTGGACTCGACAGCATAACAAAGATCAACAATTGGTTGGGAAGGGGATTGCACAAACCGCTCTCACTTTCGATGCCGAAACCGAAGCCGATGCTGACGTCGACGTTGGCAGCGATAACAAAACAAACCAGCCACAGGTTTGCGAATGACGGCAGCGACTGCGACAGCACAGTTATAATTTTGGTTAAAAGGAAACCGGTTGTGTTTTCTGAGATATCAATTTTACTAACTGCACCTTTGCCTACGTGGACTAATTGATATTGGGCTTTTGCTTTGATATCATTAATTTGCCAAGTGCTGTGTCGCTCGTTGCCTGCTTTGTCGCTAGCGTTAATCTTAGCGCCCAGCTTATCGCAATTTCTTTACGATTATGCACAGTAACCAAAGGTGAAACATTCACACACGCACACATACAAACAGAGGCAATTACTATAACCTTTGGATTAAAATAATATTTTTGTATATTTTAAATTACAGTTCGCCAGTTGAGACTGAGGTTGAAAACTACAAATCCAAAATGAGGATATTAAAGAATGGACGAGTTTTCTGGAATTTAGTAAGCAACATTAGGATATTAAAAGCGAATCTATATTTATTAATATATATATATATAATATCCCCAACAGACCAAAGGCTCTATTAACACCAAGGAAGCATCGGATATTCTTGTGAAACTGATGCCTGCCAGCTATGCCAGCAAAATTAGCGAGAAACCGGAGAAATCGGAGAAACCCGGAGAAACCGGAGAGAAGAAGAAGCAGCAGCAAACCCTTTTAAAGTATCCTGTTCTGCCACTGAATGAGACCTTGGATCGTTTTATGCTCACTGTTCAGCCTCTGCTCACGCCCGAAGAGTTTAAAAAGCAGCAGGAAATCACAAACGATTTTAGAGACAATGAAGGCGATAAACTCCAAGAACTGCTCGAGCAGGCTGGAAAGGACAGCTGTAACTGGCTGTCAGAACGCTGGAAAAAAGTGGCCTATCTACAATATCGTGATCCAGTCACGGTTTACATTAGTCCCGGCATGACATTTCCCATGGAAAACTTTAAAGATAGAAACGACTTTATTAACTATACGGCCAAAGTCATATTTGGCCTGTGCGAATTTAAAGGCATTGTCGATGCTGGTAAGATACCAATTGTCAAAATGGGCAAAAATGAGCTGGACAATAGTCAGTTCGGCAAGGTCTTTGGCACCTGTCGTATACCATTACGCATCCAGGACGAGATTGCGTTTAATTCGTGCACCAAACATACTGTTATCATCTATAAAAATCATGTGGGTTCAGTATATTAAATCTCTGATGACCGTTGATTAATTTCTGTCAATTCCAACAGTTTTACAAACTGACTTTGTACGACAAGGACGATAAGGTATTGTCTGCTCCAACAATAGCCAAACAGTTGACCAAAATTATGGATTCGGAAACGGAGCGTGGTATACCTTTTGGCATTTTCACCACAGACTCGCGCGACAACTGGGCAGAGGCCTATGAGACATTGAGTAAGGATCCCCAAAATTGTGCGACCATGAAGACCATACAGTCGGCACTCTTTACTGTTTCGCTGGATGAGTGTGTGAAGTACGAGCCCTCTGAACGAATGGATGAGCTAATTCTGTCACTGATCCATGGCGGAGGTAGCAAAGTGAACAGCGGCAATCGTTGGATGGACAAAACCATACAGCTGGTAGTCAATCCAAATGGAAACGTTGGCTTCACCTACGAGCATTCGCCAGCCGAGGGCCAGCCCATTGCTATGATGATGGATTACGTGGTGAAGAAAATGTACATTTGAATTTAAGGGTTGCACCAAAATGTTTCTAAATTGCATTTATTTTGCATTTTCTAGGGGCGACGACAAGAGCTTTGGTGATAGCGGCTCCACTAATGTGCCCGAAGAGCCGCAGAAGCTGAAGTTTGCTGAGACAACTCCATGCATTGATCAACTGTTGTTCTTTTCCTCTACGAATATCGATAAGCTTGTCAAAAATCTGCAAGTGAAAGTTCTGAAATTTCAAGGCTATGGCAAGGGCTACATTAAAAGTGTGAAGTTGGGACCCGATAGCTTCGTGCAGATGGCATTGCAATTGGCTTTCTACAAGTATTCACGATTCACATGAAAACTCCACACAAATGGAATCTAATGGAAATATATTTTACAGATTGCACAAGGTACCGGCCGCTCAATACGAATCGGCGCATTTGCGTATCTTTGCCAATGGGCGCACTGAAACCATACGCTCCTGCTCGAATGAATCAGTCGCCTTTTGCAAGGCGATGACCTCAGGAAAAGCCTCCATCGAGGAACGTGCTCAGGCGTTGCGTGCGGCTGTCGGTGGCCATCAGGCGTATACGAGACTGGCGCTGCAGGGACGCGGTGTAGATCGTCATCTTCTCGGTCTAAAGTTGATGGCCCTGGAAAATAATTTGCCAGTACCCGCGTTCTTTTCATCATTGGGGTACACGAAATCAATGCACTTCCGTGTCTCCACTTCGCAAGTGGCCTCCATATACGAAGCATTCATGGGCTACGGCCCGGCTACCGAGGATGGCTATGCCTGTTGCTATAATCCTCGTGAATGTGATGTCATCGTGGCCATCTCATGTTGGGCCTCTAACAGTGAAACGGACCCCAAAAAGTTTGCCGCATCGATTACGAAGGCCTTCATGGAAATGAAGGATGTTCTCGACAACGAACCTAAGAAGTCTAAGTTGTAGTGCCATAACAAATTATGTCTTATAATGTTGATTAAATTCTAAGTATGACCCAAGACTGGCTGTCTGGTTCTTTTTCTTAATCCAACATCCAGATCAAAATATCATGTTGTCACTCAGTAAGTTTTACACATTCTAAACAAATCACACTAGCGTTAGACATATGTCTAGCTTCTAAATTTTTTACATTCTTTCGATTCTTCTCTAAATTTAATAATGCGTGCATTAATCACTACTGAACCTTTCTGGAGCACAGTGAGTATACAATCATCAGATAATTGTCGGTCGGCCTAACTCCTTTTAGACTTGCAACCGGCAGTCGAGGTATTCACGTACGTCAACCAGATCCAAATCGACGAGCGAAAAGCCTTTGGTGGCAAAGCTCGTGGAGTATGTAATGTCATGGGGCAAACCAGAACAGACTCCACCAAAACAGATTCAACTCAAGAGCGATCAACAGGAGAAAGTGGAGGAGGAGAAATGTCCGAAAATCAAGCAAATATCAGCGAATTCAGTGAATCCAGTCCAGCAAACTTACCATAGTAGCAATCGGTCAGATGTATCCCAATCAATGTACTATTCGAATTCCGCTCCAGAAATGAGAGTAGGTTTCACCCCCGAGGCAAGGGCACAGCCCATGCCCGCTCTTAGCGACACCCGGGAGCATCTGGGCAAGGCAATTCCAGTGGATGACCATCAGATTAACCAACTACTTATGCATCGACGGGAAAGTCAAGTGCCAAAGGACTTGCTCAAGTATCCGGTTCAGCCGCTGCAGGAGACGCTCACGCGTTACTTGGAGAGCTTGCAGCCGCTGGTCAGCGACCGAGTCATGGATAAAGAGGAGGATTTAGCCGTGGACTTCTTGCGAAATCAGGGCTATGAACTGCAGTCGCTGCTGCAACAAGCTGGCGAATCAACTGTCAATTGGCTCACCGATCGCTGGACCGATGTCAGCTACTTACGCTATCGTGCACCCCTGACGATATTTTCCAGCTCCTGCATAGCGTTCCCCAAGCAAAACTTTCGCAATAGCCTGGCCTATTTGGACTTTACGGCCAAAGCAATTCACGCCATGTGTCAATTCCATTGGATTGTGGAGAACAATCAGCTGCCCGTACGCAAAATGGAAGGCTTCGATCTGGACAACAGTCAGTTCCACAATGTCTTTGGCACGGTGCGCATACCGCAGCGCTCTTGCGACTACCTGCAGCAGTGCAAGTCCAACTTTATAGTGGTCATACACAGGAATAACGTGAGGCTGTCTAGAATATGTGTGCTAAATGATAGTTTGTAGTACTAATTCCTCTCTGCTCTTCTCCTTCTAGTTCTACAAGCTGCCTGTTTTCGATGCTGTAGATAAGCGTATCTTTAATGTTCTTCATATCCGCAAGCAACTGATGAAAGTTATAAAGTCCGGCAGGCTTCTGGGTCCAGCGATTGGTCTGCTCACCCACGACAAGCGCGACCACTGGGCCGAGGGACACGAGATGCTGTGTCGCAAGGACGTTAATGCCGAGACAATTCAATGCATCGAACAATCTCTTTTTACCGTCTCTCTGGATGATGCTATTCCCATTCCTGCGGGTGAGGAGCGTACGCTGCTGGCGGCCCAGCTGATGCATGGCGGTGGCCCACATCTGAACAGTGCCAATCGCTGGATGGACAAGGCACTGCAGCTGATAGTCAATCCGTGCGGCTTGGCCGGTCTCTGCTGTGAGCACTCACCCGCCGAGCCCCAGCCGGCGGCGAGTATCATGGACTATATACTAAAGAATGTGTATGTAGAGCACTGATTCTAAAACTAATTTAAATTCTCTGTTATGGCATACATAATGACTCGCTTCTGTTTTAGTCACCATCCGAACTATGGACATAATGCCAAGGAATCGCACAAAAATGAGCCACTAGAGTGGCTTTACTTTGATGAAGTGGATGAGTGTGTGACCTTCTGGTTGTCCACTGCCAATCGGACGGTGAATGAGCTCAGCAGTCGGCTGCAATTGCATGCCCAGCGATTCGATTGCTATGGCAAGAGCATGTTGAATGCACAGCAGCTGGAGCCGGACAGCTTTGTGCAGATGGCGTTGCAGCTGGCGTTTTATAGACTGCATAGGGAGCTGCCCGCCCAGCTGGAGACGGCACATTTGCGCATCTTTAAATTCGGACGCAGCGAAATTATACGTTCGACCAGCAATGAATCTTTCAAATTTGTGCGTGCCATGGTTTCGGAAGAAACCTCGATTCAAAATCGTTTGTTTGCCCTAAAAGCCGCTGTTGATTACCATCGACAGCAGGCGATGATGGCGCTAAAGGGACGCGGCATAGATCGGCATTTCTTTGGCTTGGAACAGATGGCGCATGAGCATGGCAAGGCGTTGCCCAAGTTCTTTCAATCGGAGGGCTATCTGAAATCGAAAGATTTTCGCATACTCAGCTCCCAGCTGTCGACGCCGCATGACTCGTTCATGGTTTACGGGCCGCTCAACTCGGATGGCTACGGCTGTTGCTACAATTTGCGTGAAAATGACATTACGTTTACCATAACGGCTTGGAATCACAATCCGCAGATTTCGGCCCGAAGCTATGGCATGGCTATCGAATCGGCATTGGCCGACATGGGACATCTTATCTTGGATTCGGGCAATTCTACATCGGTTCTAGAATCTGACAGTGATCGCACGCAGCGTTGAGGGCTTATCAGGATTTTTGTTTTTATTATTATCTGTATTTATCGAACAAAAACAAGTCAAAAAAGGAAACATTCAGTGGCTCAGGCGTAAAATCTAAATATATATATATAATTTTTTTTTTTTACATAATCTTGTGGTTTCTCTAGTCCTTTTTGCAGTGATAGCAGCTGCAGGAGACGGCGCTCTTAAAGGTCACATTCCGTATGCCCTCGATGCAAAGCACGCGACGTTGTATCTGCATATATAAATTCATAAATTGGGATTGGTCAAGCTCTCCCTCTCTGTCTTGGGCACTCACCTCTTCGGATTTCATCATATTGCAGCACTGACCCACGGATACGACGGGCTTGGGTTGTCGGAATACGCCCGGCAACGCAGATGGTATCGATGGCACCGCATACGATTCACAGAAGCCACGGCAAGCGTTCGTTGTAATTGTAAACTCGACACAGTCCGGTATGGAGATCTTACGCGTGTTGCCCACCTTATGGCAGCCGGGACGCAGCCAGGCATCCTTGCCGGTGGCCACGCTGCTCTCGGCAGCCAGGAAACAGGAGCAGAGCAGCCAAAACAAAAAAGCCAATAGCGTTAGCGACTTCATCTCGGCCGTAACTCAATGCAAACTGTTGCCCGAGTCTCGGCTAACGCTCCATTTTATGCTGGTCAGCAAGGAATACGACGCTTGCGTAAAGAACGAGCGGTGAATTTCTTTGGCATGTGGGCTGCACTAATGAGGGGTAAAGCAAGGGAGGGTGAATACTACATGCCTAAAATATTCACGCATAAAAGAATGTTTGCATATTCTGGTACTTAATATATACCGTTAAAGAAATTTCTAAAAACAATCATATCCATTTTATGCTAAATACAAACAATTTGATTACAGAATTTTTCAAATGAGCTTAGACATACAATAAGGATACCTTTTAAAAGGGAAAATACTTAAATAAAACAAATAAATATAATATATAGAATAGTTTTTGTAAAACTAACCATCTAAATCGCCAGCCAATTCAATGATGGCTTTTCAGCACACTTTAACCATGACGGTTCATAGTCGACCCTCATATCCTTGGTTATACCATGCCTTTGATATAGTCCTGTGAACCTAGATGATGGTCCAGAAATTCATTGCATGAGAATATGGTCAAAGATATGAACGCCTTTTTTCAGCTGCCCAAAAGCAACATGTCCTTTCCTACCAGATGGTAACTAGTCGACCTAAATATTCTTGGTTTCACAATGCCATTGATATGGTCCTGGAGACCTAAAACTCAAAACTAAAATACCGTTGCATAACCCTAAGGGGCTGCTGCTTTTGTCTACACTTTTCGTATGTCAAATGTACTGAATTACCAGGCGAACAGAAATCACCAGAAGAATGACAATTTAAAATTAACAGTCAGAAAATGTTAGTTAACATATCACTGTTAATTAACATATTACTGTTAATTAGCATACTGTTAGGATAACAGTGGATACACATAACATGTACAGGTGGATAACAGAATCAGATCATGCTAATCTGCTGTTATTTAACAGCAAATGTGTATGTTATGTTAAATAACGTGATCTGTTAATTATAATTTTCGCACTGTTAATTTACATTTTTGCACTGTTAATTTACATTCTTGCACTGTTAACTTACAATTTGTTCCTCTACTGCTTATTTCTGCTCGCCTGGTAGTTCAGTGAATTTGATATACTACAATTATTATGATTATTAACAGTGACATGTTAACTTGATGTTAACAAAAATAACTATGTTATCTTAATGCAAACATTTCGACCTACTGCTGCTACCATTCAAATTTCGATCCCAACGGCCACTTAGCTAAATAAATCTATGGAATACATACAAATCGTACGTAATCTACTACCGTTTTGACCATTGCGCATATCGGAAGGAGCTTGACATTTAGGTTCACTAAGACTACATCAATGGAATGGATCATCCAAGGATATTTAGGTCAATTAGGTTCCATATATTAGGAAGGTGTAAGCCATATTTGGGGCAACCATATCCTTACACAATGTGTAAAACTTGGTCCATTTGATGTAGGTTTTAACAGGACTTTATCAATGGTATGGAATAGCCAAGGATATGTGGGTCAACTGAAAACCTTAATTTTTTTTATCAGAGTCTTGATCTGATTATAAAATAACTGTTTTTCCATCAGTTCGCAGAATCAAAATATATTTTATTTGGGAAAGGATGTTTAATATTGAATACACATGAAAGTGATTCTCTTAGGCTTTGCGCCATATGTCTATAAAGCTTGTATTTAGTTTAGAAAACCAAGGCAATCTGAACATTTTCAAAATCAGCCTATGCGTTTGCCAGGCTTGTGGTACTCTGCTTCGT